TACACCCACATGCATTGGTGTAAGTTCGACATCACTAACAAAATTTTATCCACACACGCACATGCCCTGGTGAAATATCAACACCACAGCAAAACGTATAGCACTCATGAGGCCTGGAAAAATTTATTTACTTAAATAAAGTTAGTATACGCATTCCTTGTTGAAAATTTAGTTTTAGTATTACTACTAATATCCATAAGCACATGTTTTGGTGCAAAATCAATACAAATAATGTAAAACACATTTATACTTACATATCTAAGTAAAAAGGCCACTTTTAGCGCGGAATACATCCACAAGCATATGCTTTTATGCAAAGTATACCTTATTGATGCGAATTTTATGCAGACACACATGCCTTAGCGAAAACACTTTGACCCTAGTAAAAATGAATCCACACAAATTGGCTCAGTGCAAAACAAACCTTATTATATGCAGCATTTTCATACAAACAATCTTAATTATAAAACCAATTTCGCTATGCCTAAATTTACCAACTTGACTATATCTTTGTGTAAACTCGGGTTTAATTTCACAAAACAATCATGTGCTAAGCCATTAACTTAATAATCTATGTCACTTATAAAAATTGCATCTACACGCGCATGCCTTGGTGCAAAATTCCAGTTACAAATACACAGCATATTTACGAAAACATGGGATCTATTAAAATCAACTTATCTGTAATAAGATTTATCAACTTAAACAAGTATTTATTCAAAAGTAATTGAATTATGACAAAGCGTATCCATTTGAAAATCACTGACTAAAATTAATTTCACTAATACATATTTTAGCAACTCACTGTGTGCAAAACCAACAGTTTTACTAATGTCAAAAATTCCACACACGCACATGCATTGGTGATAATAAAATATTCTAAAGTAAAATATAACCAATTACACGTTTGTTTGTGTGGACAGTTATTGATGAGAGTGACATCCACAAGCACGCACTGATGTTAAATCATTTTAAATAAAACATGATATTCAAATAAAAAAATATGTGCAAACATACATTTAGATAAAACCTGTTTTGCTAATGTCAACTATATGCCCACGAAAGCCTACACTTTTAAATAATCAAATTAATTTAAATAAGCGTGTCAACACATAGCCGCATTTGGGTAAGACCCACTTCATTTAAGCAAAACAAATCCACATATGTGCATTTTTGTAAGGAATAAATTTCAAATGCACAAAAAACACACCCACAGGTATGATTTTGAGTGAAATGCATTACAAAACAAAACACCTCTACACCTAAGCATATGCGCAGAAAACCACCTAAATAGAACGAATTGTACGCATATGGTTGCAAAATTTAAAAAAAATTAAGTTTAATAAAATAACTTGGCCGTAGTGACAGGCTTTTGCGCAAGATCTACTTAGGTAAGTAAAATATGTCTATACGGAAATCAAATAGTGTAAAATCAATGTAAATAAATCGACGTATGTCCACTGATACATCCATTTGTGTGAATTCAGTTCCAATTAAAAAAAAACATTGATTTATAAACGCATCTGTTAAAAATCCGTTGTAATAATGCAAAACAAGTCCAAACACATACGCCTTTGCGTAGAATTAATCAAGGTATAACAAAACATGTCCATATATGTAGAGAGTTGACAGAACTCGTCTTAATTTGGGCAGAACAGATGCGCACCCGTACGTATTTGTAAAAAAATCCGTTTTAATGGACAAAAACACTCAAAAACGTAGTTCCTGCACAAAAATCGACTTTAACAAAGCTATAATAAGTCAAATTTTAGTAAACAAAGCATTTACATTTAGACACATTAGTGTAAAGCCTAGTTAAATAAACAAAACAAATTCGCACACATGGGATTTGAAGGGATCAGTTTTAATTCTAGGCATCCCATTTAAATGTGCGCACATTTGTGAAAAATCAATTTCAATTGCACAAAACACCCACACATACGCATTTGTGAAACCTTTATTTACATAGAACAAAACGCATTTGCACAAATACGCAATGAGAAAAGACTAAAATCGGTCAAGTAAAACGCATCCACACACATACATTTGCGAAACAATAATTTTAGTTAAACAAGACATATCCGTTCACAAATGCATTTGTGGGAAGGCAATACCAATCGGAAAAAGTGAACTTAAATAAATAATAAATAATCATAGTTATGCTCGTTGGAGTAAAATCCATTTTACGAAAAAAACACACTTTCACACGAATTTTTAAAAAATTAACTTCAATTTTAACAGGTTCATTTAAATATGCACCCATTTGTAAAAATATATCGTAAATGCACGAAATGTATCCCATTAATGAGCATTAGCAAAAAACGGTTTCAATTAAGTAAAATGTATTCGCATTTGCACATATCTACGATAGGAAATTTTCATTAAATTTGAATTAGTGCAAAATCAATTTCAGTTGCACAAAACACACTTGCACATGCATGTATTTACAAAAATTCAACTTCCATAATTAAAATTTTAATTTAAAAACAAATTTACACACACGTACTGGTGGAAAGTCTCAATTAATTGAAAAACACATCCATGTACTTAAAAATGCGAGTAATCCACTTCAAATAAACAAAACATGTCCACACATATACGCATTTGTAAGAATTCACCATAACTAAGGAAATTGTGAACATCAGAAGACATTAATAAAAAACCAATTTTAAACAAATTGGGCACGTTTCACATTAACGCAGATACAAGAACTCAATTCCAATAAATGAAAGTATATTTACCCATTTACGCATTTGTGTGGAACCACTTTCGATACTCCAAGACCCACTCACATGTGTATGCATTCGTGGAAAATAAATATTAATAAAAATAAGCACTTCCACAAACGCACGCAATTATGGAAAATCAATTTCATTTAGTCAAAGCAAATCCAGGCATTCACGTATTGGCGAAAAAACAAACTTAATTAAAAAGCACATCAATACATTTACGCATAATTAGGAATCGAACTCAATTAAACATGATACATCCGCTCATACACGCATTGGTGAAAAATTTATTTTATTTAACGAACACACATCCACACAAAACTAACTTTAACAAAACAATCCACACGTTTGGGAATTGAAAAAAATTAAATTTTGCTTAGCACAGCATAATTTAAACATATACACATGCACACACAAATGCAAGGGCGGGAAGTCAATTCCAGCTAATCAAAACATATTTACAGATGCGGTCATTTTCGCAAAATTAGTTATAATTAAGCAAAAGCTATTTACACATGTAATACTCAATAAATATTTAATCTAATTAGAACGCAAATGCACACACTTATACACATTTGCTGGAAGCCAAATTCAAATAGTCCAAACAGATTATCGCACACAAGCACTTATTTAAATCGAGTCCAATTAAACAGAACACAATCGCATAAGTACGAATTGGTGGGAAACCGGATTTAATGTATCAAAGCGCATCACCACTTATTTTCACTAGTGAAATGTCAATTTTAACTAAACAGAACACACCCACCCTTCCATAACCGAATATTAGATGACGTATATCTACCTATATAGGCTTTTTCGTAAAATTAATGTCATTGCTACACAGCATATTTATCCTGCACACCTTTTTGTAAAATATGTTTACTAACAAAATACATTAAACACGCACGCAGGCATTTGAGTAAAAATAACTGCAACAGCGAAAAACACTTCCACGCACAAAACTCCGGTAAATCTCTTTTATTAATGATAAATACAAAGGTGCTTTAAAGCATTTGCGTAAAATCTATCTCATCGAAGCAAGGTACGTCTTCACATGCCCAAATCTGTGTAATACCAATTTCAATTGATCAAGTCTTAAACACTCACACAGGCCTTAGTGTAAAACCAATTTTAGTAAACTAGCACACATCCACACATACACGACTTTGTGTCAAATTAGATTTATTAGCACGAATTATGGCCACAAATACACGTATTTGTGTAAAATTAAATTTGAAGAAAAAACATAACTGTCTAATTTGGTTTTTTGAAAAACCACTTGTTTTTCTTGTATAAAAAGGTACTTTTTAATTTTTAATCATCCACCTGTGAACTAGTATGCAAAAACTCAATTTTCCTAAATACATCCTTACCTATGTTTTAGTGTAGGGAATAGCAAGCACTCATGCTCGTTTTTTATAAAATTTATTTCGCTTAGGCAAGATGCATCAATGCATACGTCCTCATGGGGATAAATTACTTTTTAATCTAAAATCACCCAAATATACAGCTGTATTTAAAAATTCAGTTTTACTAATACAAAATGCATCCATACGAATGTTTTGGTGTAAGAGCGAATTCACCTACGCATCAATCATCCACACGTCCATTCATTTGAAAAAGTCAAATTTATTAGTGCAAAATACATCCTACCTTACATGATTGTGCATAAAATCCATTTT